CCTGAGGTTTTCTAGTTCTTTCTACTAACAACATTGTACATATAGTTTGATACATAGATCTTAGGATTATTGAACATGCCTGAAGATTCTTGTACTGAGCGTGCTCTCTTTGGCGGCGCTATTTCTAGCACTTTCCCTCTCCGTTTCCAGGTTTTTCCTTTTCTACATATTACTATTATCTTTCTAAAATTACTTTTTGCCAATTGCTTTTTTTTCTGCATTCTATCTGATTTGAGCTCCTCCTAACCATTGGGCAAACCCGAATAAAGGAATAGGTTATGGCGGTGTAAAAAATAGCCTCCTACTTAAATGAAATGAGTCTGAATAAAACTGAATGGACATGGAGGATTCATATAGGCGTTTTTAGATATTTTATTGAGGATGTTGTTGAATTTCACTGATTTTGCAGGATGTCAGTAATGTGCGTCAAGTTCCTGATCATCAGGTTTGTTCCCTTCTTTCTTCTTCACTTTTGGTCAAATTAGAGACACCCTGTTTGCAATTTTATGAGTAAAAGTTTAATCTTGGATGAAATTTCTGTTTTTTTTTTTTTTTTTTGCGTGTGTATTTCTTCCTTTGTTTCTAGTAGTTTGTTCCTATATATTGTTGTTATTTTATTACGCATTTTTATGGTACTAATATATTATCTCCTATTGCTTTTTTTTTTTGAGCCTTTTGAGCCGAGGGTCCCCTGGAAACAGCCTCTCTACCCTTCGGGGTAGGGGTAAGGTCTGCGTACATATTACCCTCCCCAGACCCCACTTGTGGGATTATACTGGGTCGTTGTTGTTGTTGTTGTTGTTGTTGTTTCTAGTAGTTTATTTAATGTGTTTTCTGTGTTTGTTTAAATTTTATGAGGTTGGTTGCCTTTGTTCTTGTTCACTTTTGATTAAATTAAAAAAAAAAAAGTTGCAGTGTTATTTATAAAAGGTTAATCTGGTAGAATTAGAGACACCCCCATTTGCAGTTTTATTTAAAAATTTAATCTTGGATGAAATTTCTGGATTTGTTTTAATTTTTCATTGTGTTTTTTCGTTTGTTCTTATAATGCTAAATTATATGAGGTTAGTTGTCTTTGTTCTTGTTTACTTTTGATTGAATTAAGAAAGGCGTACCTGCAATGTGATCTATAAAAGGTTAATCTTTGGAAGAAATACTGGAATTTTTGTTTATCTTGGATAGTTTTTCATTGTTTTTTCTTCTCATCTTCTGTTCAGATTTGTTTTACTTTGATTGTTTGAATCAGGAGGTGTTTGTGGACCCTGGACGCGACGAGAGTTTGATAATTGAGCTTCTGGATCTGAAGTTGGATGTAGCAGACAGTGGAAGTGCCACCTGGTTTCTTCAAGACCTTGCAAATGAACAAGATGCAGAGGGAGCTACGGTAAGCTCTTTCTTTTCGGGCAACCTTTTTTTTTTGTTCTCTTCATTTCTGCTTTATTCCACTTTTATCTGCTTTTCGAGGTGGTGAATATCAGATATGCTTATATGAACCAATTATAGGGACATGACGACACTCTGATGACTATCATTCTTTAATTTGTTCGTTTGGATTGTTGTTCTTGTTTTTGTTGTTATTGCTCAAATAAATTAAAATCAGCATATATAATGGACACAAAGAATTCATATAGTCGACCCTATTAATTTGGATTGAGGCATGGTTGTTTGATTGATTCAACCAGTAGTTTAAAATTGAACTAGGAGGGACTGCAAAACTCATCGAGTTAGATGGACATTAAATTGTATCAGTTGTTTGGTATGACAACTATTGTGACCTTATCAAAAACAAACTTATCATATTGTGACTCTTGTCCTTTCTTCAAATTTCAACTACTTTGTGTTTCTCTAGTTTTATGTGTGAATTCTTATAAACTACTCAGGCATTTGGTAATTGTCGAAAACACTGATGCACAGAGGGCAGAGTGAAATGAAATTTATTTTCCTTTTCCATCAACTGGTCCTAGCAAAACTATGAAGAAAGCCCCTTAAGAAAAAGGCTACTACTTCCAAGGGATAGAAAGAAAGAACATCTTGGAAGTGGACATAAGGATCAATATTTGTGTTGGGCCCTGCTTCCTCCTAAAGTGCTCTATTTTTTCAGAGTCTGAACGTATATCAAAAGAATACTTTGAACCTCTGCAGGCTGGTCTGTAGACCTCTTACATCTTTCTCACTTTCATACATCCCAAATGAAGAATGCATCTTTCCCGGAGATTAAGTTAATTATTTATCCAAATTGAACTAACCATCCAAAAGCTGCACTAAATCAGTAGAGTTCCTCCATATATTGTTGTTTAGTTCTATATTTTCATTTCCATTTCTTTCAAAATAATTTTCTGATTTCAAGTTGTTTAATGTCTATTATTCTGAGTACCTTGCCAAATAATTGTTCTTCTATTACAATCATATAAACGGGAAATTTTTGACGTGAAAATGTGTGAAATTGAAGTGTGCATTTTCTTAAAAGCTTGCACTTCAATAATTGGTTAGGCCAAATCATTTATAAGTTGTTCGGTTATAATTATCTTGTTGATTCTTTGTTTGTATCTACAGATCATCGAGCAGTCAGCAGTATTTGAGGCTCCTGGATTGTGCTATAGAAACACGCCTGCTGTCATCAGCACTGCTGTTGGTCAAATGGTATGTTAGTGTTATTTTAGAATTACTGAGCATTTATTGATGATCTCTCAACTTCAGTTGGTATCTTACTTTATGGATCTTCATGTGTATGACATGGTTTTTTAAAATAACAACAAAAGCTGTTCTAATCTCTCATCGCAATTTAGTAATTTCCCATGAGTTCACATCCCTTGTGGCTAAAGCATTGTTTATTTAATGACTATTTAGCTTCTCTAGAAACCATAATAACCTTCATTCTCTTTACAGTAAGTTGTGTAGTTTATGCTCCTGTACGGGGACGGGATTCAGAATTTGTAGTTATCTTCCCAAAGTTGGTAAATCCATGTGTATAATTTTCTGAAAACTAAAACTCATGGCCTTGATGACTTGTATTTCTTTTTAGTAAGGCCTTGATGACTTGTATTTGCCTTGAATACAATTTGTGGAGGGGCCTGGTCCCTTTATCAACTCAGCGAATCGTTTTTTTACATGTACTACATGCATTAAGTGCCTCAGCAAATACACTTGAAATTGTTTTATTGGCGAAAGAACTTAGGGATGGTGCTCCCATGTCATGTTTATGATGAAAATGTAAAATGCATATATTTCCAGAAGAGAATTTAGTTTCTAGCCAGATAGTTCCCTTTTCTTTTACTTTTAAGAGGTAGTATTTTAGTAAAGCTAAAGTACTTTCTCTTCTTCATTTACAGTTGCATGAAATAATTTTCTGGAGAAATGAAAGTAGATGTAAAGATTATTAGATCTACCAGAACACATATTTTCAACTAGGATGAGAGTCATGGACAATGCTAGCCAGTTTGTTGTAAAACTTCATAAATTGCTTTTGTTAGTTGGTCAAATTTTTCATTTCATGTTGTCAATCTAATTGAGATCAACCTTATTCAATTCATAGGCCGTTTCTAAGGGAAGACAAGGTAGGGAAGCACAGAACTTGGTTAAGGTAAGTTTGTAAATTCCTTTTCCGCCCCATACCCTTACCCGTTGTAGTTTTAACTGCAAAATGATATCTGATTGTGTCCCATTCAGGTGTACCTGGCAAACCTTCGCCTTAAGGAAGTTGGAACGGATATTCTCATAACTGCATATGAGCCTTTATTAATAAAGTAAGTTGGGAGCTAACTCGGTTTACACCTGGTTATTTAAGCTAAAGTCAGTTGGTCTTTTTGTTTAACATTTTCATCGTTTACCTTTCTGATTGTAGCCCCTTGAGTGAGACTGCTAGCACAGTCGGGGCTGGCATAGCTGTACCTGCTGCACAATCTGGAATTATGCCGATGGCTGAGGTTTTTAAACTTGCAGTCTCTAGTTTCAAAGTGCATGATTGGAGCCTCTTTGGTACTGCTACTTGAGGGTGTCGAGTGATTTAAAGAATCAGGATCAGTCACACAAATCTAGCATCTCTTTGGGGATTATTGGCCCATTTTTCAACAGCATATCTGTTCTTTGTTATTCTGTTAATTGCTTAAAGAGTTCCTGTTGTAGTGGGATGTATAGAGTAGTTTGGTGCACAATATCTACTTTATCTTTTGTTCAGGATTTTGTGTATAGTGCAGTGCAGTCCATTTGCTTTCCTTGGATAAAAACAGCAGCCAATGGGATCAGATGTCTCTTGACTTCTAAATATCACATGTAACGGAGTTTCAAATTCAAATATAACTAGAAGAAATATGAAATTAAATTTGATAAATAACTTGAGAATTGTTGAATTAACAATGAGTTAAATCTATACTATTATAAAGGCGCGAACATATTCAATGTAATGTTTATTGCCATATTTACATTAGAGTAAAGTATAAGGAAGCTAGGAAAGAGGCAAAATTAGCGGTCACAGTTCTTTTGTTATTACCTATCTCTTTTTTCGTTTCTTTTCTGAAATTATTATCTCTTCTGTTGAGCCGAGGGTCTCCCGGAAACAGCCTCTCTACCCTTCCGGGTAGGGGTAAGGTCTGCGTACATCCTACCTCCCCAGACTCCACTAGTGGGATTTTACTGAGTATGTTGTTGTTGTTGTTTATTGCCATATTTACCTTTTAAAAGATTACATTAAGCTACATTCGATATGTGACAGAAAAACGATATTTTAAAGTTTGAATCATCTAAAATTTAGAATTTTGAAATCTACTCTGATTTATTGTTTTGGTGTAGTAATGACTTGGTGTGTTAGTTTGCACACTCCCGTTCTACTCTTGTACTTGAATAAAATTTCTAAACTTAAACCGCATAGCGTCATTTGATCTCTTCATCATTTTCATTTTATATTCGAGTAAATTTATCTTCTTTACATCTTTGAATTAGTACTGGTTCTTAGATGGTTTCATTGGGTAAGTGAGATATATTCTACTTAAATGTAAGCACTGAAATTAAGATGATTACAATCCCAAAGACAAAATAAACAATAAGAAAAAGAACATAGTGTATAATACAAATTTTGAACCCACTATAACTATACATTCTGAATTCGCCTCTGCTTACTTGTTCCAAGCTCCACTAGAAAGGAAAGGAAAAAGGAATATGAATATGATTTCCTTTCATTTGTTACAAAGAAAAGCTGCGGCCTTGCCATTAATTACTGGTTGGCCAGGACATGGTAGATGCTAGGGCAAAGCCTTGGGAACCAGGTGCTGCCGATTCAACTCTATTATTTCACCCTACCATAATGACATAGAAACCGTTAATTTGCTTTCTTGCAGGATAAAAAGAACATTAGTTTTTGAGGAATATGAACAGCATGCATGTTTGGATCCACAGCCTTCCCCATTGATCACTGATGCTATGAAATTATGTTTCTGCCAAAACAGTGTTCAATATTACAACAAAAAGAACATGGGAAACAGAGGCATATATGAAACACAATGCGCCATATATACAAGGGACAAGAAAGATGATGTTGTTTCTTCAACAAATCTTAACTCACATTTCATTTTCAGTCGGTTCTATATAGTTATTAGTTATTTGATAAATATATTGGTTGACCAAAGAATATAACCAAGTAATCTGACAGAATAGAATATATAGGAATTTTCATCTCAAGATTTAGAATATCTTATATGCGTGTGTTATCATATAAACGTGGCGAGCACATATACATATATAAAATATCTTGGAATACGTACACATGTTTTGAGGTGAAAGCAACGGGTTCAACCTGCTAGATGATCCGTCTCCATTTCCAGATATATGAATCTGCATTTTTTCTTCAGTTAGATGTGTTTTTTTTTTTTTAGAAAAAAAAAATATGATTTCCACTTTATCATTACTAGCAACTAATGTAGCTAGCATAGACCAATTTTCAAATAAGTTTTTTTAACACCTTTACTTCTCTTTTATGAATTTAACATAATTTTCCTGCTAACAACGCAATTGTCTATGACATGTTACTAATTTACATTAGTGTTTAAAGATACACGTAACAGATTTGGTGACACACCAGATACCACTTGCAGCTGCAGGTGGTGAAAATTTTCAAACTGGCATTCAGGGATGGTTCCCCCACTTGTGTCATTCCTGTCAACAGCAGTCTACTCTTAACATATAAATGTTATTTGATAATTTTTATGCTAAGATGTTATTTAGCATAATAAGCAGGATCACATATTGATGCTGATGACATTGATTTGAGAGTTGTATGTGAGCTCTCTTTCTGTTATTACCCCGCCCTTGCGTTTGTGGGCAGCTCTCTTGCTGTTGCTACCCTGCACTTGCTTTTGTAGGCAAAAACAGACTACCTGAAGAATTAGTTGAACTAAGTGTAAGTTAGTCTGCGTAACACCATCTTAAACAAAAAAATTACTCCTTTTAGTGCCATGCCTGCTGCTTGTGCAGATTCATCTTATATCTGTATGTTGAATGAATGGATTTTCTGTCGTAGTTATTCCAAATTAGTACAAAGAATAATTGATCGGCCACTTGCCAAAGCACTCCTCTGTCGGAAAGAATGAGAAGCAACTTTTAAACTGAAAATCAAAACTTTGTTATGGCAGCCAAAGGCAGGGTTCTTTATGAACTAGGGTACTTCAGCTTGGCTATGAAAAACCTGGCTATTATCACATAATTCAATTGCGCTACATCCAGCTTCCTTCTTCCCAGGGAGAGAACATTCAACTTCTTTTTCTAATTTACCTTCCTTCACCTCTGTTATATCTCTCTGCTCGGGCATTATCCCAGCGATGGCATAAGTACTGCTCAGAAGTAGGGAATCAGCAGGATGTTCGCCGAATCTCTGTTCTAGTTCTTTCTTCACTTGTTCTCCCAGCTCAACACTACCATGGACTCTGCATGCTGCTAGTAACGCACGCCATGCAGTAGCATCCCCCTCAATGGGTAAACCTTTTATCAGTTCTTGTGCTGTCTCAAGCAATCCAGCACGGCCTAAGATATCAATCAAACATCCATAATGCTCAATTTTAGGAGTCAAGCCATATTCCAGCACCATTTTTCTAAAACAGCTGATGCCCTCAGCCACCAGTCCTCCATGGCTACAAGCATTGAATACAGCCAAGAAAGTCACTTCATTAGGCCAAAAACCTTCATCCTCCATTCTATGGAAGAGCGCAACAGCAGCTTCTGCCTCCCCGTGTACCCCGTAACCCATTATCATTGATGTCCAACACTTCACATCTTTGGTCTCCATACTGTCAAAAACATTAACTGCCTTCACAAGCAAGCCACTTTTAGTATACATATCTATCAATGATGTCCCAAGAACTGGATCCATAGCTAATTGCTGATCTTCTACGAAGTTCTGAATACAATGACCCGTATTGAGAGCCTCGGAGGAAGCACAAGCAGAAAGCAAACCTGCCAAGGTTGATGAATTTGGCTTCAATCTTTGAACCTTCATTTGCCTCAATAGAGACAATGCCTCTTCTAGCAAGCCATTTTTAGCATATCCATCTATCAAACAGTTCCACAAGACAACATCTTTAGGATAAGCTTCATCAAATAGACTACGGCCCGAGCTAATGCAACCCATCTTTCCATACATAGAAATCAAGGCAGTTAGCACCTTCACACTATAGCAAAATCCATTCTTTATGCAACACCCATGCAGGGATTCCCCTACCAAAGCAATCTTTAACTCACCAATCCCAGACAAAACACACAACATCGTCGTGGCACTAGCAGAAACACCATCCCTGTGCAATTCTACAAACAATTCCAAAATAGCAGGATAATTATGTACACAAAGATAACCACCCATCAAAGTGTTCCAACTCACCAAATCTCTATCTGAAAAATCATCAAATAGTTGGTGGGCACAACGGATTCTCCCAGAAACACAATAAAAATTCAAAAGGGTATTCCTCAAATCAAGAAAAAATTCAAAGCCAGATCTCAAAATGACTGAATGAATAGCTTCTCCAGTCCATTTCGCCAATAATCGTATACAAGATCTAAGTCCAGAAACAAAAGCAAATTGATCAAGAATTACACTTTGTGCCCTCATGTAGTTGAAAAACAAAAGACCCTTCTGTGGGTCATCACTTATTGAATAACTACGAAGCATAATATTATACATATAAAGATTTGGGCTTTGTATGTATTTAAAAATTGAAGCTTCATAGTTTGTGTATTGGATTGAACATGCAAGAAGTTTGCTAAGCGTAAAAGGAATTTGATCTTGACCTGTTTTGACCATTAAGGCATGAAATTGTTTGATTTCAGAGATTTGCTTACATGATTGTAACTGAGAAATTAGGTTTTGGCCTGAAGAAAACATAGAATAATGTCTTGTTAAGATGATTGATGCTATGTGTTTGAAATTTTGTCTTAGATATGAACAGTATGAATTAACGGCTATGTTCATGAGACCTAGTAAAGCTAGATTTCGCGGTAAAGTAAGGGTGGTTATTGCTTTTACAGGAAATTCTAAAAGATGTCCCAAGTCATCAAAACTATATATATATATATATATATATATATATATATGAGTTGTTACCACTTTCTTTCTTCTCATGGATAAACTTAATTTAAATCTTTATTTTCTTTTTGAAGTTTAAATGTTTAATACATGAGTTTTTGTTCCAAGTTACGCATGTTAAGAAGAAATAATGTGATTCAGAATACAAATCAAATTATATTATTCTAAATGTAATGGTTAATTTTATGATATTCATGATATGTGCCGAGAGAATTTTGATTTTGCTATCTAATACTCCACATTTAACTCTTTGCACCAAAGGAAAGCTGAAAAATGAATATTGAATAGTTTTTCAACTCAACCTGTGCATAAAAAGATAATCTTAACTTAATGAGGATGTATATAACCATTCATATCATCAAGTCAAGAAAAATAAGCCCCAATCCATTTAGGTTGCAAGCTATAGTATTTGATGAGATCCAATACAATTCGACAACCTAAAATAACTAGTGTCTCATCATTTTCTTTGGGAAAATTCAATCAAAAATACCCAATCAACTGTTCTAAATCTAAATGTGGCTACTATTTATACTCATTAATAGACGGAAATAATCAACAATAATGGAATGATAACGTAAGTATAGAAACTTCTTCTTTGATGGAATGAAAACCTAAGTATTAAAACCGAAATTACAACTCTATAATAATATGGCAGCTCGATTAAATTTAATATTTTAAGCTTTTGGCTTTGTTAGAATGCAAACAATAATATTCTATAAGAATAAACACAAAACTAACCATCGACTTTGGTTAACAATCCTTATATGACTTATGGTTAAACAACCCAAGGAGCTTGAAGTACGCCTAATATTTTAAGATTCCCCGTATCTGACCAAATGCAAATATTCATAGCGGATCATGGTTTTCTTGTATTAAAAAAAGGAAAGGCTCAACATGTCAACTGCTCACTGTATTTAGAAAATGTTATAAATAAAATTTTATTTACGGTGAATGTCTATATATAGAGAGATTCTAGGGATTATTACTTGGTGGCTAAGTCACTCTTTTCCTATAAATAGAGGGTTCTATTCCATTGTAAATGATCCTATATCAATAAGAATTTCCTCTCTCTCTACTTTGCTCTGCAATACTCTTCTTCTTTTATTATTTTATAACACGTTATCAGCACGAGACTCTAACAAATTGAGTAGAAGTTTTTGGGATTGGGCATAATGATTGTCAATTGTTCCATGAACTTCCTTCATGATTAAATTCTGGATTTAAGGTATGTATTTTACCATATTTTTCTCTTTTATTCTATAATGTGATTTTAAATACAAGCAAAGAAAATAAATTTTGATTATAACTCTAATGGAGTTAGTAAGAAATTATAACCACCCGAAGTGGTAAAACTTCTATGTCTTTCCATGATCAAAGTCATGTATGATCGTGAGCACACGAAGTGGAAACCCGTCCCATTGAATTTGCTCCATTCTCATTCCCTTAAGAGAATGTGATAGCAGTATGTAATAAGTCTGAAAGAAGATAAAATTATTACTGTGAAGGTATCAATGGATGTGGACGTGACAATAGAAGAAATTATAATCGTCATAATTGTGATAATGAGAATAATAAGGATTCTCAAAATAATCCTTCATTCTGTGAAAGTAATATTTGTCATCGATTTGACATGAGATTTTATAAAGCACATATAGATGATCATGGTCCATTCATGATGTGAATATGAAAACATCTGATTTATGAATACATATTCATTCTTGGAAGAATATGAACGTGCTAGTGGTAGTGAATATACCACACTCACCTCTAGAAGGAGGTTTGAGATGATATAAGAAAATAATATCATTATTATGGCATGAATGGTCATTCGTCATGTACCTGTTGCACGCCAAAATATTTTGATAATGTGATTATTAAAGAATAGCATTAATGCAAGAAACATATCTTGCATATAATCTTGACCATAACCATAATGGTATAACTTTCTCTTTAAAAGAGATAGTCACCATACGGATGTTGATGAATATGTGGTAATACCAAATTAACTAAGAGCTCTGGAAGAGCCAATTATACTATTTTGGAGAAACACAATTGATTACCAATAAGGTATTGTGTTATAGTAAGTCTCAAAGAAACTTATTCAGTTTCCAAAGCATATGCGAAAGCGGTTGATTATATTGAGACTATAAATAAAGGAAATATTTAATATCTTCTATTACTATAACTTGTAGCGGGGTAATATGTATGTGAAAAGCTACCCACTTTATTCTCCAGTTTGTACTACACAAACAAAAGAATGCCACAATAAAGTAGAAGTTTATTGATATAAAAACCATATCATAATAAAGTTGAAGTTTATAGATAATTGCACACATCATGGTGTAAATCTGAAGTTTATCAATATTAATAATTTATTCAGTTGGCATAATTGGTTTAGCGATATCAATTTAAGTATGATGTGCAAAAATAATAGAGAATTCATATGGATAATATTAAAGAACTAGAAAGTTCTTTATCAATTCTCTTATATTGTTTGTTCTCATTAATTAATTGACCAACTAAAATTGGGATTGAATCCCATGAATGCTGGAAATATCAAAGGTGAATATGGGCCCATTCACCTGCCATATATACCATATAAGATGCATCTATGAGATGGTTACATGTGCAATTATTATTAACCCGCAACATGGTGTTTTGCGAGGTAACTTGCTCAATAATTTAATTTCGAGCATAATTTCCAGATTTTCTATTCAAGAAGATCATCTTGATAAGTTGGTTTACATCACAGTTGGTTTAGCAAAATAATTTATTGAGTGCCTCCACTTAATAGCTAAACTATTGCTTATGAGAACAAAGTTATCTATATTAGTTTGATATATGTTATATACGAAAGTATATTACATTCTCCCCTCACAAGTGGTTCAGGGTCAAGAACCAAATAATTTCATCTTGTTATTATTGATGTGCGATGTATATTTTGATTAACACCATAGTGCACAAAGATGGGTTCCCAAAATTGAGGAAGAAAGTTAGTTTTCTAACATGAGGGGGAGACATGATAAACATTTGAGAAAAAGTTACGTGGAATGAATTATCATTTGTACATCTGGATCCTCGAATACGATAATATGAACTTGAAGTTCATAAAAAGATAATTCATTTGCAATATATTGCAAAGCATGCCAGACGCATTTGCTGATCCAAAGAAAGTAACTATATTCTCATTGCAAATGCTCATATTAAGTCCTAGAAGGACAAAGTCTATGGTATGTTTAAAGCGTATAGACAAATCAGTTTCAAATAAACTTCTTGATAAAGAAGATGAGAAAATGATCATAATAAAGGAGGCACGTGATCTAGAAGATCACATGACATAATACTTCATAAAATCTCAAGAGAGATTCAGGTACCTGAATATATGAAGGAAGAGATCTCTATATTATGTCTATATGAAAATAAGGATGTTGGAACCGATATAAAATATTTGTCGACGACATCTATCATAGCGCTAAGTATAGATGAGAATTTTAAGTCTGTCGAATACAGACACAAAAATATTGGCCAAATGGAAGAGACACAATTCAAATAAAATTGGTTTCATATGAAAGACATGTAGTTTTGAACATGTAGTTCAAACACTTGAAAGTATAAAGTCAATGTTATGTGCAATCAGTTTTTGATATCTTATATGTCTAGCATGATATGAAAACTTGATATGTATCTAAAATCTATTATATGGCTTATATGACTTAACTTATATGACAATCCATGAAGGATTTAAGTTGCTTGAAGCATATGCAATTCTTGATGTTGAAGTACCACTTCCTCAGTGCAATTTGTGCACAAATGTATCTTGCTATAACTATAAACATGATAATATGATAGCAAGAGTTTTCACCTCTATGTGAAGATATTGAACTGACGATTCCAACAAGATCATATGAAGACAATACATCTATTAAGGATGATGATTTCAAGGTGAAACAAATTTGTTCAAGTTAATATGGCTGATTTGTTTATCAAATCTCTACCAAAGATCTTTTGAAGATGGTGCACAATATTAGAATGCAAATGCTTAAAGATGTGAATTGATGCTCTCATCAGGAGGAGTTAATACGCGTTGTACTCTTTTTCCCTTACAAGGTTTTGTCCCACTGGGTTTTCCTTGCAAGGTTTTTAACGAGGCAACCAAAAGGCGTATTATTAGATATGTGTACTCTTTTTCTTTTACTAGAATCTTTTTCCCACTAAGTTTTATTTTAGTTAAGATTTTAACGAGGCACATTATCTATTGAATAGACATTCAAGGGGGAGTGTTATAAATAGAATTTTATTTATGGTGAATGTCTATATTTAGAGAGATTCTAGGGATTATTACTTGGTGGCTAAGTCACTCTTTCCCTATAAATAGAGGGTTCTATTCCATTGTAAATGATCCCATATCAATAAGAATTTTCTCTCTCTCTACTTTGCTCTGCAATACTTTTCTTCTTTTATTATTTTATAACAGAGAATTTATAATAGTTCGCCTAGTAGCTTGATGCTCGTATTGCCCTTCACGACTCTATTTTCATGATTGATACTGCTCTTCATTTTACTTGCCGCTATTATAAGAATCATTTTTCTTGATCAATATCACAAAAAATAAAGAAATAATGTATCGACTAGGTCATCCTAGTAAAATGTTTTAAAAAATCTAGAAGGAGAAAAAATGCATCATAACTAACATAACAATCGATAGGGTTTGCTTCTAACGAATTATAAATCTCTTTACGGAAAAGGACCGGAACTACCTGAAGTATTGGAATTGGTACAAAAATGGTCTCTGTCCACCTATTTAAATAAAAATACCCCTATCGCTATTTTTCTGCTCAACGTTACCCTATTACTAACAGAAGATTCTGAAAAAAGAAAATTTAATTAATATCCACGTGTCACCGTCTCATTGGCCTAATGTAAACCCTAA